TTTTACCAAAACCGGCCCTAAACGCATCAAAAACGCATCCAAAATGCGGCACAACCCACTGCACTGCGTGTGCAGAAACCTGGCCGGATCTGGTCTGCATTTGGTGTGAACAAGGCCTTATTCAGGCATTCGGTACAATGAGCGCTGGTCACACAGTTTATGGTGTTTTGTAAACTTCTAGCCAGCTTTGTTTACAAACTGATACAAAGTATCTCTGAGCAGAATACTGTATTCTACTTAGAGATACTAATTATCAAAGCCCTGTAAATAAAAAAAACCCTTAGCGCCCCCTAGTTTAAAAAAATAAGACAAAAATTGTAACTTTTAAAAAATTAAAGTGTTTTTTTTTTTTTTTTTTTTTTTTAAATACGTTTTAATAAAATGATAAAATATGGTGCTGAGGAGGCTATTGACGATAGGAGACAAACATAGCACATTCTAAAGTTCCACACAAATTGTATTTCACTCCTTGTATTTTGTGACCTTTAACTGTGACCGTGATCAAATATAAGAATTTATTATGAATTACTTTGTTGGCTACACTAATTATGTGCATAATATTATTGCCAAAACTGAAAAATGTATTTTCTTTTCATTTTTGTGTATTTAATTTTTTGTATTTATTTCACCCGTCTGTCCCTCCAGTCAGCACTGGAGGAATGGAGAGGGGAAGGGGGAATCCCTGCGGGTAGTTGTAACACTTCTCTCTGCAGGGAGAAGATCGGGAAGCGATATATGATTGCTCAGTTCTCGATCAGTTCTGTGACATGTCGGCTCTAACTACAGGGATGAATGTATTTCACTCACCCCATAGTTCTCCTTTAAGTTATTGGAGCATGTAGCTTTCAGCTATTGTGGTCTGTAAAATGAGCTGTTCACAATATTTGTCCAATCTTTTACTTATTAGGGACCTTTTATTTACAAAAAAATGTGAATCTTAATATGTAACTGTGCTGTCCAAAAATAATTTTGGTCTGAAGTGACCTATAGAATCCAGTCAGATTTAAACGTTTTAAACACATTTGTCTGACTCCTCCACAGCAAGTTCCAATTTGGTTGACTCTGTCAAGGCATAAGAACCCACATCAGCCAGTTAAAAATAAAAAAAAGTCTAATTTTATATTAGAGAAGGACTGTCACTTTAAAGCCCTCTCTTTTACCTTTCAGCCAATAGGAAGTATATACATTCACAAGGCAGTTCTTTTCATGACACGGTCTCCTTGGGCATGCAGAACTGTTGAAAACTAAAATCTTGAAGTTATTGAACAATGTTCTTCTTGCAAAAGTTGTGATAAACAATGTGTAATTACTATAGGATCTAGTTTGTGTGAAATGAGCGTCAAAGTCGAACTCCATTGTCAGATCTCCAAGGTAATTGGTTCTGTCTTGTTTATACACCGCAACTCAAGTCACTTATGAGTTGAGATCATGTGAGGAAGGAGTGTACAGAAGGAGAATGTTATCTATAAAAGTACATACTACTACAATGCTGTCTGGTCTGGCATGTGTGCGTGCGTCTAGAAATGGGCTGCCAGACAACAGTTTAAAACTTCTTATGCTAATATTTGAAGAAGTTATATGTACAGAACGTGGCCAGAATAACAGGAACACCACCTGGGAAAGAAGGTCGACTTTCAGCAACTAAATTACAGCTGCAAGTGTAAGCCCTTGTGGGTGACTCTGACACTGCGCTAGTAAAGTCCGTGTCGCACTGCGCTAGTAAAGTCCGTGTCGCTGTCGCTCTGCGCTAGCAAGTCCGTGTCGCTGTCGCTCTGCGCTAGCAAGTCCGTGTCGCTGTCGCTCTGCGCTAGCAAGTCCGTGTCGCTCTGCACTAGCAAGTCCGTGTTGCTCTGCGCTAGCAAGTCCATGTCGCTCTGCCCAAGAAGACCAGGAAGTGGAAAAATAGTAATTTGTAAGAAAATAAAATATATGTTAAATTAATGAATGTTAGATGATTTTATATCTGCATGCCGAGCTTTTTAGTATAAGGGGGTAAAGGTCCACTTGAAATTAACTTATTCATGCCCGGAGTCCAGCTTTAACTTTGGGTGATCCCTAAACCCTATTTCCATCCCCAGTTCAGAGTACGGTATTTCAGTTCTTTGATAGAAGGCAAAAATGAAATATTCCTTACACATATACATCGAGGATCCATTTAAGTAGAAGTAGATTAACATATGATTTATTTTTTGGGGGGAGGGGAGGGGGTGCTTCGACACCTACAGAAAATGCATACAGAATTGGGGATCATATTCATTTAATCCGGGTCTCGCATGGCAATCCAACCCTCACAGCACAGACTTGACTTGGATGTAGTAGCGCAGTGTCAGTGTTACCCACAAGATGTCACTCTGTCAGCACACAGAAGAAGTGAGTTATGGCGGATACTTTTGTTTTTGTGAGCTGATCATTTTCTTCCATGGTGCCTGTCACTTACCCATCGTCTGAGGACATTTAAAACTACCCAGATGTTTTCATTTAGCTCCGAATGTACTTGCTGCTAAATGTGTCGTAGATTAATGACTTGCGGCATTGCATAGTCTGTGTTGTAGGAAAACCCAGTAGTGTTACAGCTGCTCAATTATGTTACTTTAGTAGAAAAAGAGATTGATTTGTGTAAAAAAAATCTTTAGAGGATGTTTAATAGTCCATCTACACTACAGTTGCAGACAATGTCTGATGGTAGCATAGGCTTGATGTACTGTTGAGCCTTTCATTGTGATGTGTGGCCTCTTACATTTTTATATTTGTCATTTTGTGTGCATTTTGCTCCAAAATTAGCTTAATGTGAGCCTGTACGTTGCCCATGCCAGGTAAAGTAACAGGTTCTCTTTACAGGACGCAGTGTCAGCAGCATGTAAAGCAGAACTCCGGGTAACCTTTTTATTAGCCCTTGCAGTTGGGCTACCCCACACTACAAGGAGTAAGTGCTAATTTTGGCTAGGTTCAAAAATAAGAAAGCTATACTCCTCCGATCCTGTCAGGCCGGTGTTCTATCAAAGATTGTGACTGGGCTGGAATGTGTGACCGGAGACATGATCACACATTTTAATGTACTAACGCCCAGTTTTTCGGCGGTGGAATATGTGACCGGCAAAAGGAGAAGAACTCCAACATTTTCCCAGCTGTTCCAGGGCTGATCGGCATCGCAGATCGTATGTGCAGGACAATCTATCTGCCCTGGAACAGCTGATCAGTCCTGAAATGTCACGTCTATCCGACTTCGTGGAATGTCCGATCACACTCACAAAGTCGAATAAAAGTGACATTTCAGCTGTTCCAGGGCAGATCGGTTCTCCTGCACATACGATCTGCGATGTCGATCTGCCCCGGAACAGCTGAGAAGATGTTGGAATTCTTCTCCTTTTGCCGGTCACATATTCCACCGCCGAAAAAGTGGAGGGGGGGGATTACAGTAAAATCGATGACCACGTGACCGGTCACACATTCTAACACAGTCACAACTTTAATAGAACACCGTCTTGCTCTTTCACAGGTCCCTGCTACCTTGCTCCCCCCATCACTGCAGTGCTCTAAGGGTCCCGTAAGTCATCATATCCAATACTCGGTCTGCTACAGTTTTGATAAATTCCCCCCAGTTACCTATTTCTGTACCACGGAATGTGTATAATGCTGGACATATCCTTTGTGCCTCATTCACACCATGCAGTGATCTGCATGTATGCACTTGAACCCAATGCACATATATAAGACTGAAAAATAGGGATGCAGCAATATATCGGCCGAAAATGGCACCTTTGGCTAAATGCCGAAAGTGCCATTTTCCTGCCGATATATATCGGCGCATCCCAGGTTTCTTTCCTCCCCACTGGGCGCTGCTCTGTGTCCCTGCGGGGAGGAGAGAAAGTGACAGCCGGTCGAGCGCTGTGGGAGGAGAGCACTGTGAGCGGCCGGTGCCTCTCATCCCACACCGCTCAGCCGCCTATCGCAGTCCGGCAGAGCGGTGTGGGGGGCGGAGACAAACCGCGCTGTCACAGGATGGGCTCTGCTCCGCTTGCTCAGCCTCCTGTGACAGCGTGTCAGAGAGGAGAGCATAAGCAAACACTCAGTGATCGCTGAGTGTAGATAATTGAGGATATGGTATGTATACCATATCCTCAATTATGAATGAATGGGAAGTGATCTACTTCACCTCCTGTTCATTCCTGATTGTGGTTATAGTAATCATACTCTGTTCTCATGTAATGAATGAACAGGAACACTCAGTAAAGAGGATTCCTGTCCATTGATAACAGGGGATACAGAAAAAGAGATGGAGGACTCCATGTTAAAAGGGAAATATCAGGGGTCTGTTTAGACCCCTAATATTTCCCCAAAGCCCATAAAAGTTAAGTAAAAAATATTTAATAAATGAATAAAAATAAATATTAAAAAATGTGAAAGTTTATAAAAAATAAAATTTGAAAAAATTAAAATAAAAACATTTTTGGTTTCGGCCTGACAATTTTTTTTAATTTCGGTTTTTACATTTCTATTTTGGTGCATCTCTACTGAAAAGGGCTCAACAACTGATGACATTAAAACACATGCTAATGTGCATAAAAACCCCACATGTATGAAAACGCATGTATAATCTGTATCAAAAATGCATTTGTGATGTGTTGCAGTGGTGTTTTTTTTTGCAGTATGGTATGAAAGGGTCGTAGTGCAGAGAACCATGATTATGTACACCATGCAGGACACGCAGAGGTCAATCAGTAGACAGTTGATTGTGATTAGTCTGTACAATATGTTATTTATCACAGCACTCTTTGCCTTATTAAATAAAGCCTACTAGTGATTGTGTGTTCATTATATGCATATGTGATCAGATGTTTGCTTGATTACCGTTCTGCAACTTGTACATTATACGAGATGTATAGGTATATATTGTATAAGAATATATACATTGTATAATTATATCATTCATAATCTTTATTGTAAGCTTAAATCTTATTATTCATTCAATCATTGTTAATTTTGCCTCCTTTTTTTTGCAGGTTTCATGCAAGAAAACCAACCAGGTAATTGAAAAGTATTTTGTATTAATGCTTGTTAATAAAAATGCTGTTATTATATGGAGTGCCGAATATAGAGGTCAATCTGGTAGAAGGGCGTACGTACGCCCTCGTAGGTAAAAACCAAAAAGGAAATGAGTTTTGCCCTTGCTGGTTTAGGTATCATTGCTCAGTTTCTGAAATTCTGTGCCCAATGAAATAGAGGCTGACGTTGCTAACTTCTTGAGATAAATGCCAGTTGCCTGGCTGTCATGGTGATCCTGTAAAGTCAATCCTGGAAGCTACTGATCCAGACCGTATATGTAACAATTCTGATATCCCTCTGTATGGTGCATATTTGTTCCTGGTCAGGGACTCAATGGTAAAGATAACCCTAATTTCCCACTGTTTGTCTTTAAAGTACAGGCAGTCTCCGAGTTATATACATCCAACTTACATACAACTCCTACTACTTACAAATGGAGGCTATTACTGTACAGCAGGGGGAATGCTGACAAGGAGTGCCCACCTTTTTGGGTCTGGTTCTGTACTCGCATTACAGGAAGTTGGCTCTTGTTAGACGTGCAGATGTGAGGTGCCCAATGCTTCTTCTGGGTCACTATGAAGTTTTTTACTGCTGTCTGTATCCTCATTAGAAAGATTTAATCTCACTTCCTGTCCTTGAGACAACAGGAAGTGAAAGGCAATATACCCTTAGAAAGCGAAATTCACTCATGTAAGAGTGATCATAGGAAAAGGGTATCTCCACTGAAGCTTTATCACCAATCCTTGTTTCCGCGACAACCCAACATTTTTGAAATCCAATTGTCACAGGGACAGAAAGTGAGGTGAAATCTTCTGAAGAGAGGCACAAGCAGCAGAACAAACTTTACAGGGGGTTAACCCTTCCCTATGCTATCCAAAACAAGAAAACATTATTGTGGCTGGAGTTGCACTTAAAAAAAAATGTACCTGTTCCAACTTGCATACAAATTCAACTTAAGAACACACCTACAGTCCCTATCTTGTTCGTAGCCCGGGGGCTGCCTGTATATGTAAAATCTAACAATGGTCTTCTCTTATTTGTTCCCGTTTCATCTCTAAAATATAAAATTTTATATTTTAAAAATATAATAAAAAAAGGTTAAAAAACCTTTTTTTTATTATATCGATTTTAAGAAGTGAAATAAAATACCTTTTTTTGTTTTTCTCATACCTCACTTCCTGTGTTATCTCAGCAGATTAATTTGCCTTCTAGTTCTTATCTTGGATTACAGAATACTTAGTGTCGATCTTGTGGAGATGGGAGAGTGGGTCAGTCTAAGTAGTTTAGGAAAAGAAAACTGGGCAGGGCTGACACCATTCAGTCCACAGAAATGCTGTGTATTGTCAGGCCACAGTGCAAATTAGGAGCTGAGCGCACTAGTAGCAGATCAAAATCGTGTTTTGTTTTTTTTTGTGCTTGCACGATCTTAAATACTTTTTCCACTGACTTCTAGTGCACTTTTTAGGTGTTGTTAATAATATCGGGAATTCGAGGCAGGTTTCTGGCTTATATAATCACTGTGATTGGCAGTCACATGATGAAGTGCTCGACCCACCAGCTTCCAGACGTAAACGGTGACTGGGAGCTGTGTGCGACAGCTTGGTCTTTGTGCCAGGAGTGTGCCAGTGATTGCGCTTTCAGCACAAACAGTGGAGATGGTTAATTGATATGTTCAGCAGTCCGATGTTGAGGCCCACCCACTCCACTGACGCATATATGCGTGGAGACAACAGGAAGGCGTTAAAGGGATAAAACCTGGGCAAACGTGCATGTATTGCAGAGATTTTCTGCATAGGTTCTTTTTATTTTGCCCTGACTTACACCTAAACAACATGCCGTATGTCTCCACAATAATTATTTTGACATGGAATATGTAGCTTCTGGTCTATCGCACACAAGATCCAGGTGACAGGGAAAACAGAGCAAGCAAAACACCAGTCTGACCTCCATTACCCTCAGTGACTGGATTAGACTGGATATTTGTTCCCAGATGTGAGAATTGAACTCTTAAAGGATGGCACCACCCAGAAGGAATCGCTTAAAGTATGGGATAAAGTGATGACGGGTTGGAAGCTCTGTCATGTTTTAATTGTTGTCTGTAACCCTGTTAGGGGAATTCAATCTTTTTTCCATTTTGTCCTGATAACCTCTGTAACCAGGACTGAAAAGGAGGAACATCCAACAGTTTAAGTTGTCACTAGAACAAGAATAGAAGGAGAAGCCATGTTAACATGACAACTGCTTAATAGGGGGATTTCCCCTCACCTTGGGGAGAGGTGTCCCTTCCTGTTGTGTTTACAGGACAGGAAGTAATGGAAGATCTCTACAATGGCAAAAAAAAAGACCTAACGGGGTTCTAACCCTTCCTTACTTTAGCCAAAACAATGTATAGATGTGGAAATATTTGCATGGCAGTGCTTTTGAAAAGTGTAACCTTTCCATCCCAGACAATGGCTGTTGACAGGATCATACTTGTGAACGGTTATAGTCATGTCCTGTATATTAATGCAGAACGGCTTATTTTCAGGCACGGGAGCATTTTAGGCAGCGACGCAGCAGATAAGAAGCAGAAGTTTGAACGAAGTTCATCCCATGACGTTGGATTGCATGACTTTGACCCTACAGGTAAGACCTCTCTTTTTAGTAGTATTACTTCTAAATCAACCCTGCCCCTGTAATATCTGAAAGTGAAATATTATTATGAAGAAAAGGAATGTTCAAATATTGTTTCCATGCTAGCTTTACTTGTATATATCCAAGGTTACTCCTGGTTCTTATGGGCCACTTATTTTCTCTCAGACATGGTGCCTGTTGTATTTTTCTTTCTCTTTCAGGAGACTGTTTAGTACATTGTCATTTCTATAGAAATTTTGTCTTTTAAGCCTTTTAGTTGAATTTAGATTATTATCTAGAATAATTCTGGAGCAGGACTTGTCCATATCACTACCTTATTTATTCTTACACCAGGGGTGGACAAAGTAATATGGAATTCCATAGGCTTTCGGTGCCGGGGCCAATGTGATTTTTTTTAAATGAGCAAAAACCTCAAAAGTTAGGCACCAGCCGTAATTTTTAAGGCACATTGGCTACCTGGCTCTTGGGATTTGTCCAGCCCTGGCTTACACGCTATATCAGCAAACCAGAGAACAATGTGCAAAATAAAGTATTATTATTTTGCACCCATCTCACATGCATGCATACATACACATACTAGGCCTTCCTGATAACCTCTGTAACCAGGACTGAAAAGGAGGAACATCCAACAGTTTAAGTTGTCACTAGAACAAGAATAGAAGGAGAAGCCATGTTAACATGACAACTGCTTAATAGGGGGATTTCCCCTCACCTTGGGGAGAGGTGTCCCTTCCTGTTGTGTTTACAGGACAGGAAGTAATGGAAGATCTCTACAATGGCAAAAAAAAAGACCTAACGGGGTTCTAACCCTTCCTTACTTTAGCCAAAACAATGTATAGATGTGGAAATATTTGCATGGCAGTGCTTTTGAAAAGTGTAACCTTTCCATCCCAGACAATGGCTGTTGACAGGATCATACTTGTGAACGGTTATAGTCATGTCCTGTATATTAATGCAGAACGGCTTATTTTCAGGCACGGGAGCATTTTAGGCAGCGACGCAGCAGATAAGAAGCAGAAGTTTGAACGAAGTTCATCCCATGACGTTGGATTGCATGACTTTGACCCTACAGGTAAGACCTCTCTTTTTAGTAGTATTACTTCTAAATCAACCCTGCCCCTGTAATATCTGAAAGTGAAATATTATTATGAAGAAAAGGAATGTTCAAATATTGTTTCCATGCTAGCTTTACTTGTATATATCCAAGGTTACTCCTGGTTCTTATGGGCCACTTATTTTCTCTCAGACATGGTGCCTGTTGTATTTTTCTTTCTCTTTCAGGAGACTGTTTAGTACATTGTCATTTCTATAGAAATTTTGTCTTTTAAGCCTTTTAGTTGAATTTAGATTATTATCTAGAATAATTCTGGAGCAGGACTTGTCCATATCACTACCTTATTTATTCTTACACCAGGGGTGGACAAAGTAATATGGAATTCCATAGGCTTTCGGTGCCGGGGCCAATGTGATTTTTTTTAAATGAGCAAAAACCTCAAAAGTTAGGCACCAGCCGTAATTTTTAAGGCACATTGGCTACCTGGCTCTTGGGATTTGTCCAGCCCTGGCTTACACGCTATATCAGCAAACCAGAGAACAATGTGCAAAATAAAGTATTATTATTTTGCACCCATCTCACATGCATGCATACATACACATACTAGGCCAGTTAACCTACCAACATGTCTTTGGAGTGTGGGAGGAAACCAACACAAGCACAGGATAATATGCAAACTCCATGCAGGTAAGTGTCCCTGTTGGGATTTGAACTGTGAGGACCCCGGTGTTGCAAAGCAGGAGTGCTAACTACTAAGCCACTGTGCTGCATTTCATTACTCTTCATGCTAGTTTTATAAGTGCAATTTTAAGCCAAATTGAAGTCTTGTTTTTTTATTACTGTTATGCAGCAAAGTTAGAGTGATGACATTTTTTAAATTATGTGTTAGAGCTTAAAGCTGCATGAAGCGGCCCTTTGCCTGTAGCACATTGGACCACAGCTCTCATACCGAATGTAGTTTTCCGGTTCTCCATTGTCAGACACGTCCCCTGTGTAGGGCTTTTAATCAGCAACACTGCTCAGGGAGCATGAGCATTGTTGATTGGAATACTGTGCACAGGTGTGGTTTGGACTGCTGGAGACCCGTGACGCTACATCCTTTGTGATATCTCCAATATCCTGGCAGCACTGGACGGTCTAAATGTGGACATACACCTTACAACCATCGCAAGACCGCAGTCTTGCGATGGTTGTAAAGTAATTTTAAAAACGTACGATCTGCCCATCTTGGACAGGCAGATCGTACTTGCGATGACCGCAATGCTGAACGGGCGTGCGCACACCGGCCCGTTCGGCATTTGTCTCCCGAGCATGCTCCTTAGACCAAAGACGTGTGACCGTACAGTAGAAACGGTCGCACGTCTTCACACTGCACGATTCTCGTACGATCGCGGGATTTCCCGCGATTCTCGTACGAGAATCGTGCAGTGTATGGGCACCTATAGGCTGTGCACACACCTTACAACCATCGCAAGACTGCGGTCTTGCGATGGTTGTAAGGTACTTTAAAAAAACGTACGATCTGCCTATCTTGGACAGGCAGATCGTACTTGCGATGATCGCAAGCCGTGCCCATCTGAGGCTTTTATCGTACGAACATGCTACACACCCGCCGAACATCGTACGATGCTCGGCGGGTTTTCGAACATGTTCGTAATATAAAAGTCGTGCGACCTTACAGTAGTAGAGGTCGCACGGCTTCCATACACCTTACGATAATCGTACGATCGCGGGATTTCCCGTGATTATGGTACGATTATCTCAAGGTGTGTGGGGACCTTAATGCTGGCCATACACCTTACGGTTATCTGCAGATTTTCTGTGGTCAGATGGAAAAAAGGCAACAGATTGGCCCAGGTGGAGATTACTCTATCCACACAGTTAAGTGTAGATGGAGGAATCTGTTGCACCTTTTCCATCTGACCATAGAAAATCTGCAGATCATTGTAAGGTGTATGGCCAGCTTCATACAGTTCAAAGCCCTAACACATAATAATTTTCATAAAACCTGCCTTATTCTTTACTTGTTATGCGGATTGATTGCTTAAACAGAAAAAAATCCAAAACTTTAAGGCCCCATTCACACCTGAGCGTTTTTGTAGCTCGAATGCCTAAGCACTACAACACTCAACAGGAGGAATTCCATTGTTTTCAAAATGTTCACATCTGAGCATTTTGTCCTTGTAAAAGAAGTTATAGAGCATAAAGTACATGAGCTTCTTTTGCAGCAGAGTTGAGTGTTTTGCCCCCAAAATACTGTATTAGGCGTTCCTAAACAAATGTACGCTCTTTGCTTGTTTTCTTGCCTACTAACTAGATTTTCATTAGCTAAAAGTAATAATACTTTAAAGGAAAACACTCAAGCCTAAAATGAGAGCAAAATGCATAAGCACACACTCAAAAATCTGAAGTAACGACCAAAGACTCTCAGGTCAAGTGTGAATGGGGCCTGTTTGGATTCTAAGCCATTTTATACCTTGATATAGACACATAAAAGCTAGAGGTGCAGGAAATTAAGTTCTCAGAGAAAATACAAAGTGCCACCGCAAACATTTTAAACTTTATATCACGAAGGCGCGTTACTTTAACACGCTGTCTGTGTGCGCTATGATACTTTGCTATTCCTTCTTAATTGCACCCTAATGCCTATATGCAGCAAAACAAAAACCTGCGCTATAGCACACTACAGCGTACAGATGCAAATGTCCATTGAATTGTGCTACTTTGCCAAAAATAATGCAGGTACAATTTTTTACACATGAAGGTATACAACAGCCCAATTTATAATGAGTAGGCTGCCTTTACACAACACTTCTCAATGCATGAAAATGACACGCGTGTTGTGCTGTGAAGGAACTATGTGTTCCAGGTTTTGTGGACGTAACGAGGCCCGTGACACAGATTAGTGTGTTTTTAGTGGTCTAGGGGGTTTTTTTTTTAATGTGATCATGTCCTTCCGATGCTGGCGACGTACACTGTACGTCGTCAGTCACGAAGGGGTTAAGTGTATTACTAGTAATAGTACTATTGCTGGTGAATCAAAAAGCATGGTTGTAGTTGGATTTTTAGTATTTGAATTATGAAGTTGAAACTCCTGATATATGTATTTGTGCTGGGTTGGGGTCTCTGTTGGCATTTACACCACTGGATCGCCTGGATAACCAGGGAAGTAGTATTTCCTGAAAAGTAGGAGAGCTGTGGAATCCTGTAAATGTATGTTTCTTTAATCTCATTTCATTTATTTTCTCTGGAATAAAAATCAAATGTTTTTGTTATTGCTTAAAAAAAAGAAATAATTAATTGAAAAGTTGAACTATATGATGTTTCAAAGGTATAAAGTTCACAGAATATATAGTCTCATTGTTTTCATTTATGGGCATTAATCTGTTTAATGAAAAGCTAAAATGATGTACTACAAGAAAATATACGTCATTAACTATCTAATACAACGCTAAAGAACTTGCATACATCGTTACATAGTATTTGAGGTTGAATAAAGACACAGGTCCATCAAGTTCAACCTATTGATACTTGTTAGAGGGGAAATTTGGTTTCTAGTGGAGCTGACACTGGATGTGCAAGATGCAAAGAAAATCAGAATAAAAGTTCAGCACATATATAGACATGTGTTTCCCTACAGCAGGGGTCGGCAGCGGTGGCCCTGTGGGGAAGTTGCGGGCGCCGTTGTAAGGTATCCGGC